TTCCAGAGGAGCCACCGCCTCCCCCGCCTCCCCTGGAGCCGCTGCTGGAGGTGCCCACCCCGCGCGTCCTGGCAGTGCGTTCAGACAGCGCTCAGGTGGAGTGGCAGCAGGCTGTCATGACCGTTCCGGCATCCGAGGACCCTCGGCAGCTAGAGGTGCAGCAGCTCTTTACCTATTCGGTGCCTCACGAGCTACAGATGCAGGAGGTGGCCGTCTCGGGTCCCGCATCAGGCGATGCCCTGATGCAGCAAGCGCTCAGCATGATCGTTGAGAAGGGCTGGATGAAGGTCTTGGAAGCGCCCTGCTGCAACGCTGAGGTGCGAGCGAACTGCTACGGCGCGCTGTGTCGTGGTGCGTGCGCACGCCGCCGTGTAATCAGGCGCCCAGCAGGCTGCCATTTCTAGCACGATGCGGTTAATGGCCATGCATGTCAGTAGGATGCACGCATGCAGCGTCCAAGGGCAATTGGTGTTGGCTGTGTTCATCGCACGCTGCCTACGTCCCCCCCTCCCCTCCACTGTGGCTGTTGCTGCCCAGGTCACTGCCCTGCGGCCGGGCCGCTACTATGCAGTGCGGATCTGCTGCACGCCGGTGGCTATGGCACCGGGCGAGCCTGCGGTAGTGTTCCCCAGCCAGTGCTCGCAGCTGCAGGTGTTCCGCACGGTGCCCACACCTCCAGGGCCCATGCAAGCGCCAGCGCTGTCGCAGCGGGCGCGCAACGCGCTCAAGGTGGGTGGGGGTGTGCAGCAGGCACACAGCAGGCTTAAGGTTGTGCCCTGCTCAGGCTTGAGATACGAGGCAAGCTTGTTCGAACACTTTTGGGCAGCGTCACAGCTCAGGGGTGCTCATTTTCTTGCTGCTGGACCCCCTTGAGCACACCAAACACCACTGCTTTGCTGGCGGATACGATCCGCCTGCGCAGCTCAAGTGGACGCTGCCCGATGAGACGGGCGGGGAGCCAATTTTGCAGTATGTCTTGCAGATGCAGCCGTCGCCTCTGAGCTGGGAGGGAATGCCCAACACAGAGGTGAGGCGCCTCCTTGCTTTGCGGCACAGCACCTCTGTTGTCGGAGGAGACAGGAACTATTGGGCAGCCGTTGCCTGGACCCCTCCATCTGCTCTGTGGCGTGTAGAGCTCGCGGCAGTCAGCGGCTGTTGGAAAGACAGCACCAAGGGTGTGAAACACTTCGTGAGCAGTCCGCAGTCATAATGAATCGTGGGCCTGCCATGCCGGCTTTCCCAGGGCTTTTTCGAGGTGTACAGCGGCGACGAGCGGTCCTTCAAGGTGGTCAAGCTGGCTCCCGGCATGCGCTACACGTTCCGCATCATGGTGCGCGCGGCAGTCCTTGCTCGTGTTGGGCACTGCCCGTTTGCCAGGAGGATGATTGCAGGTAGCGCCATAGACATGCTGACTGCACTGGTGGGTCACATATACTGTGAAGGGTCCTATTCAACGCTCAGCATAGCATATCCAGCCATTTGGCACGACCAATGTTCAGCCCTGCCCAGCGCTTGCACACCAAGCCCTTCCCGTTGCAACCCTCACCCCGGTAGGCGTACAACACACTGGGCCCCAGCCCCTGGAGCCTGTGCAGCGCTTTCTCAACACAGGCGTCAGTGCCTTCAGCGCCTGAGCCGCCAGTGCAGGTGGCCTCCTCCAGCGACTCTGTGACGCTGCAGTGGACGGCCCCGCCAGACAACGGTGCGGCCATCAGCGGGTACACCCTGGAGGTGGACGACGGCCGCGGCGGCGATTTCAGGCTGGCCTACACTGGCAGCAACACCAAGGCTACTGTGGAGGGCCTTCAGGTAGGCCCATGTTGCAGAGACAAAGAGAGAGCACAAAGTTATTGCAGGTGCTTGGTTGTCAAGAGAAGCTGCTGCAATGTCGATGCGAAGAACAATTGGCAGCTGGTGTGTGAGGCTCCATTGTCATCATTGCTAGGCTTGCCTCCTGAGCAGCTGTGGCGCCCTCACTTCCCATCGCAGAGTGGGCTTCCGTTTCGCTTCAGGCTGCAGGCAGACAACATCGTAAGTGCAGATGAGGAAGCACACGATTGTAACTCGCCTGTGCTTTTTTGCTGCACACATATTCAGTGTCTGTGCTACTTCTGTTTGGGACGGTCATGCCCCTTTTGACCTGTCTGCATACGGCCAAGTAGACAGGTAAGCCTTTGTGCATGTGCTTACTTACCTCGCCGCTCCACCGCACCCAATGCCCCCCTCCCCCTTCCCTTTGATAGGAGGGCCGCAGCTTCTGGTCAACCCCAGCTGTCGCCACTACAGCTGCCACTGCGCCCTCCATCCCTGGCGGCCTGGGGGCGATCAGTGTCAGCTGCACGTCTGTGACGTTGGCATGGCAGCCGCCAGCAGCAACTGGCGGCTCGCCCGTCACTGGCTACGAGGTGCAGCTGCAGGCAACAACACGCGCTGCACGTGACGTGCTGGGTGACGACTGGCTGATCATCTACGATGGCCCCTCCACCGCCACCACCTTCAGTGCTCTGCAGCCGGGCTGCAGCTACATGGCGCGCGTCAGCGCGCGTAACAAAGCCGGCCGCAGCTCCTTCAGCATCGCCACGCAGTTCACTTCCGCTCCTGACGCGCCTGCGGCGCCGCTGCTGCAGGATGCTGATGTGGACTCAACGGTGTGCATGGGGAAGGGGAGCGGTGTGGTCGGGGCAGCGCCTGGTCCAGTGGAGACAGGCACGTGGTGGCAATGGGCAACATGGACCAGCATCTGCTGCACCTGTCATGATCTTTACTGTTTGCTCTGGCTGAGATCGTGGCGTAGCTCCTTTTCTCACATGCAGTGTGCTACCCCTTGCAGTCCCTGCTGCTGAAGTGGCAGCCGCCTCCCCACGACGGGGGTTCTCCCATCGCCAGCTACCGCGTGGAGATGCGCTGCAGCCCCTCACAGGCCAACGGCGGCCTTGATGAGGCCAGTGTCAGCCCCCAGCACAGCCTCGCCCTCACGCCCCACTATTTGACAATATACAAGTGAGCACACGCACATATGCCGCAGCGACTTCTGATGTCGTTCCTGCACACCACCAAGCGCGTGAAGCCCGCATGCAGCTTCCAGCCTTCCGCCTGACCTACACATCCCTGCCATGCCCGCCTGGCTTGTCAGCCCCCACGTTTTCAACATCGGTGCAACATCTCTCACAACGTCCCCCCTGTGTATACTCCCGTTCCCGCTGCAGTGGCGCCGAGTGCTGCGTGCAGGTCACCGACCTGATGCCCGGCACGACCTACCAGTTTCGCGTCATGGCCATCAACGGGCAGGGCGGCTCGCCCTGGAGCTCTGTGGGCAGCGCCACCACCCTTCCTTCGGTGCCGCTGCCCCCAGCTGCGCCCGCTGTATCGGCCTGCAGCAGCCACAGCCTGCACCTCAGCTGGCGGGAGCCGTACGGGCAGGGCTCGCCTGTCACCAGCTACACCGTCAACATGGCACGCCTGCCCACGCCGCGCCACGCCGCAGCCAATGGCCACGGCCACGCAGCGTCGGTCTCTGGGGATTCTGAGCACAGCTCTGCAGGTGGGGCTTGGAGAGGCCGGGGACACGTGGCTTGGTTTCGCTGTTTTAAGAAGTTGTGTGGTTTGTGTTGCTAGCTGGTCGCGGGTTGCAGTCACTGCAGTGACTTTTGTCATAGCAGCTCGTCAGCCGCTCTGTTGCCATCTAAATGAGAAATTCACCCCACACATCCTGGATGTTCCCAACAAAGACATGGACGCGGAGGCTGCGGCTGCCAGCTGCAGCGTCGGCGGTGAGGCGCAGCAGCGATTGCGGTACGAGACGGTCTACACGGGGCCAGCTCTCAGCTGCGAGGTGCGCAACCTGGAGCCGGCCACCACCTACTCCCTGCGTGTGAGAGCGCACAACGCCATGGGCGGCAGCCTGTGGGGCGACACCGCCACCCTAGTAACGGCGGCAGCGGCCCCGGGCCCACCTGGATCGCTGGCGGTGGCAGCGGCTTCCGCGGGCGAGTTGCACGTCAGCTGGTCGCCACCGCTGCGCGACCACGGTTCTGTCGTCAGCGCCTACCTTCTGGAGATGGCGGCGGGGGGCCGCGGTGGGGCCGGCTCTATGGTGGGCGGCGCAGGCGGAAAGGCGGGTGGCGGCGGCGGCGGCAGCAGTAAAGCAGGGTCATCGCAGGCGTGGTCTAAGGTTTGGCAGGGCCCTGACACAGCATGCAGCGTGTCAGGGCTGCTCCCAGGGCGCACGTATCAGTTCAGAGTGCGTGCCTGCAGCAACCAAGGCCTGGGTACTTGGTGCGAAGCAGCTGCGGGCACGACACTGCCGGCGGCGCCAACGGCGCCTGGTCGGCCAGTGGTCAGCCAGCGCGCTGCAACGTCACTGAAGGTGCGGTGGACGCTGCCAGCTGAAGAAAACGGCGCGCCGTTGACGGGATACGTGCTACAGTCCCGCCCTGTCGGCAGCACCAGTGGCAGCAGTGGCGGAGATCCCTTTGCTGACTCCTACGTGGGCATGGAGATGGGCGCACGCGTGACTGGGCTGGAGCCTGGGACGAGCTACGAGCTGCGGGTGGCGGCGCGCAACCGCGTCGGACAGAGTCCCTGGAGTGAGATGGAGACGGCGGCGACCGCGCTGCGGCCCCCTACGCCTCCCACGAGCGTGGCAGCTGTGGTGAATACTGGCCCGCCGTTAGTGCTGCGGGTGTCGTGGGCGACGCCCGCCGACGATCCTGGAGGTTTGGCGGCAGAGGCGGTTGGGTACGAGGTGGAGGCGCTGTCGGGCACGGCGGCGCCCAGCGGAGGCGGTGGTGGCGCGGCGCTTCGGCAGCAGGTTGGTCGAGTCGAAACTGCGTCACTTGTGGGCCTTTCTCCTGGCTGCACTTACACCGTTCACCTGCGAGCAGTAGGTGCTGGCGGCAGCGGACACAGCGCGTGGAGCGAAAGCGTGCGCATCTCAGTGCCCGCAGCTGCTTCGGCGGCTGCGGCACCGTCGGCAGTGGTTGGAGAAAGCAGCGGCAGTGGGGACCAGGCGGCAAGTGGCACATCGGAAGACTTGGGCGCTTCAGGTGTGAGGGGTTTGTTTGTTGGGCAGTCTTGTGGCCAAGCTGCTTCTGTCGTAGTTTCGCAAGGTATGTATGCTTACGGCAGCGCCAAGCGTCCCTGCTGTGTCTTGGTGCCAGTGGCACCGTAGTCAGCTGTCTGCTAGCAAGTCAACACACCCCTGCCAATCCATGCCCTGTTCCCGAGCAGGCAAGCGCAAGGCAGCAAAGAAGGGCAAGCGCACCGCTCCAAGGGACCCTTTGCCGGCAGCGGCCGTTCAGCGCCGCTCTGCAGTCCAGCAGAGCGTGGCCAAGGTGCCGAAGAGACGGGCGGGTTGGCTTGATGTGGTGGTGCCGCCCAAGATGCGGCGGCACTTGAGATATGCGCTGTTGTGCATCGCTGTCACCGTCATCATCTCCTACATTATCATGCTTGCCCTCCAGCAGCGTCCACCCAATGGGCCCATCCCCCCGCCGCGTGTCCCGCCCCCAACCTAACATCTTACTTGGGGCTGCTACTCTATCTGTACGCTGATCGCCTTTTCTTGGGCGTCTTGCTTCCTGTACTGTGCTGTAGAACGCCGGGATGGCTGCTGCCACCCTGGTTTCTTGCAACCCGCATTTGCACTTGCGCTTCACCGCAGCATCTTTTGCAGCAGCTCCCTTTGTCACCCCTCCATTGTATGACGTCAACAGATTTTGGCAGGGTCATCTTGGTCCTTGATAATTGGCATTAGGTAATGCCATCCAGTCAGCACAGCATGTAACGTTGCTCAATGCAACGCGGCGCAGTCGCCCTCGGGGCTAAACCCCTGCGCCTGCACTTTGAGCCCTGATATATTGTCAGCGCGCCAGCACCACCTCGTAGTACGGGTTACAGTTTGGTAATCAGGCCGCTGCACAACGGCTCCAGCCCAAAATCACCAGGGCAGCCCAGCATTTTTCAGCGGCAACTGGTAGCTTCGCCGCGACCCAGACGATTGATATGGGCTTGACTAGGGTTGCGTTTAGGGTTGAGGGTTGAACCCTTGTATGACTGCACAGTGTTTTATGGCGGCTGCAGACATACACATTTTTCCCCCTCGTCCTGTCATGCCTGTTGCAGTGTCGTATGGGTGGATGGGACCTGCACATTGGATGCCAAGGTGGGGCAAGCATGGTGTAGGGCTGCACCAACACACCCAACTTTTGCCTGGCACATCATCAAAGGTATGGTGTGCCAAAAGTGTTCCCAGCCCACCAGCACCTTACCCATGGCTACAGGCAGCATATGTGCATTTGAATCAGTCACCTTCATTGATGACAGAGGGTCGCTCAGAGGCTGGGGCAAGGGGGCCAACCACCCCCCACAAAGGGAGAGAGAGAGAGAGACTACGCAGGCTGTGACGCCCGCGTAAATCAAAGAAGAGGGGGCTGGCTTGCGGGGGCCGAGGCTGCCGCGCCGCCCCCTCACCAAAATGATGGGGAGGGGGCCACTCCCCCCATGTCACTCCTGATATTGTGCGTCTGCGCTGCTTCCCAAGTCCTCCTGGGCCATGCTCAATACCTCTGAATAAACCCTAAACCCTAAACCCTAATCCCAACAGCCCAAAACTGTGCAGGCTGGGCAGCAGTCTGACCTGGGATGCCAAGTGCTGCATCCTGCAGATTTGCCCAAGTCAGCAGTGCAGCACTTGCACCCCCACCCTTACTCCCACAAGGAACCAGGGTGGAAGCTGCACAGTCAGGACACACGTGCTGAGCACTGCTGCTGACGTCACCATGACTCACCAAAAGAGTGAGGTAGGCTGCTGGCACCAGTGCAGCACTTGAGCTACAGCCTTGGCCTCAAACCTGCAGGGTGGAAGCTGCAGGGTCATGAAACAACAAATATATTACAACCTCTGACATCACCATGACTCATCATAAGAGTGAGGGAGGCTGCTGTAGGGGTGAGGGGGCATCATGGGGGGGATGATGTGCCAAGAAAACCGTCCAAAAGTTGCTGTAACCGTCGTCCAAAAAGGCCGAAACCGATTGAGAACGCTTTGTTATGCCCCAAAACATGCAGGCAGCACTTTCAACCGACTGGATCCGAGCAGTGTGGGGTCAGTTATGAAGGTATGACCAAACTGATGAGGGGGTAGGGTTTAGGGTTTAGAGTTTAGGGTTTAGGGGTTTAGGGTTTTAGGGTTTTGGGTTTAGGGTTTAGGGTTTTAGGGTTTAGGGTTTTAGGGTTTTAGGGTTTAGATTTGAACCCTTGCATGACTGCACAGCGGTATATGGC